TTTTTTAGTTTATTGAAATTATCGAAATTTTTGAGTTTTTTAAATTGCTTGAAATTTTTGGATTTTTTCTTTGGATTTCGTAATTCCTTTGATTATTTGTTTTATTTTTATTTTAGAATTTTTTCGATTTTTTGAATTTCTAAGGATATTTTGGGTTTTTTGAGTTTCCTCCATTCTTTAGATTTTTCAGACTTTCAGGGTTTTTTCGATTTTTTGATTTATTTTTATTCTTGGACTTTTTAATTTTTTGGATCTTTTGGATTTTTTGGAATTTTTCGGATTTTTTGCAAATTTTGCTATTTTGGCTTTATTAAATTTTTTCTTTCTTTTTTTCTTAGATAAACTTAATTTTTTTGTTTTTTCATTTTCCATTTTTTTTTTGGATTGTTTGAATATTTTCAATTTTTTAGATTTTTTTGTTTTCTTAATTCCATTGATTTTTTGTTTCTTTTTTTAATTTTTTGGATATTTTCGAATTTTTGGATTATTGGAATTCATAAGGTTCTTGGCTTTCTTGATTTTTTTAGATATTGTGGACTTCTTAATTCCTTTGACTTTTTTTAATTTTTTACACATTTTCGATTTTTTGGATTAATGGATTTCTTGAGGTTCTTGGACTTTGTTGGATTTTTTAGATTTTCCGGATTTTACCGGATTACATGGATTCTGTAGACTTTTTTAATTTTTTTATTTTTTGGATTTTTGGAATTATTGAATTTCCTGAGGGTTACTTGCATTTTCTAGATTTTTCGGATTTTTAAAATTTTTTGGAGTTTTCGGGTGTTTCAGATTTCTCGGCTTACGTGGATTGTTTGGACTTTTTGGATTTTTTGTTCTCTTAAATTTTCTATATCCTTGTTTGGATTTTTCAAATTTTATCAATTTTCTGGATTTTTCGTTTTATTGGAGTTTTCGGATTTTTTGAATTTCTGTTTTGTTTCGTTTTTGACCTTTTTTCATTTTTTGTAGATATAATTTTAATTTTTTTGTTTTTTTTTATTTCCAGATTTTTTATTTTTTGGATTTTTTGAATTATTGGATTTCTAAAGTTTTATAAACTTCTTGGCTTTCTTGAATTTTTTAGAATTTTTGTCTTTCTTAAATCCCTTGTTTTTTTTTTATTTCTTCGATATTTTTGATTTTTTAGTTTATTGAAATTATCGAAATTTTTGAGTTTTTTACATTTCTTCAAATTTTTTGAATTTTTGTTTGGCTTTCGTAATTCCTTTGATTATTTGTTTTTTTTTGTTTTTAGAATATTTTCGATTTTTTGAATTTCTAAGGATATCTTGGGTGTTTTAAGTTTCTTTCATTTTTTAGATTTTTCGAACTTTCAAGATTTTTTCAATTTTTCGATTTTTTTTATTTTTTGATCTTTCTTCGAATTTTTCGGATTTTTTGCAAATTTTGTTTTTTTTTGGCTTTATTCAATTTTTTCTTTCTTTTTTTTTAGATAAGCTTAATTTTTCTTGTTTTTTATTTTCCTTTTTTTTGGATGTTTGGATATTTTCATTTTTTTAAATTTTTTTGATTTCTTAAATCCATTGATTTTTTGTTTCTTTTTGTAATTTTTTGGATATTTTTGAATTTTTGGATTATTGGAATTCTTAAGGTTCTTGGCTTTCTTGAATTTTTTAGATATTTTGGACTTCTTAATTCATTTGCCTTTTTTTTATTTTATAAACATTTTCGATTTTTTGGATTAATGGATTTCTTGAGGTTCTTGGACTCTCTTGGATTTTTTAGATTTTCCGGATTTTACTAGATTACATGGATTCTCTAGACTTTTTTGTTTTTTTTTTCTGGATTTTTGGAATTATTGGCTTTCCTGGAGGTTACTTGCACATTTTAGATTTTTCGGATTTTTTTAAATTTCTTGGAGTTTTCGGGGTTTTCAGATTTCTCGGATTATGTGGATTTTTTGGACTTTTTGAATCTTTTAATCTCTTAAATCTTCTACATCTTTGTTTGGATTTTTCAGATTTTATCGATTTTTCTAGATTTTTCGTTTTATTGGAGTTTTCGGATTTTTTGAATTTCTGCTTTGTTTCGGTTTTGAGCTTTTTTGATTTTTTGTAAGTAGATACAGTTTTAATTTTTTTGCTCTTTTTATTTCCATGTTTTTAATTTTTTTGTATTTTTTGAATTATTGGATGTCTAATTTTTTCAATTTTTTTTTATTTTTGGGCTTTTTAATTTTTGGATCTTTTGGATCTTTCTTCGAATGTTTCGGATTTTTTGCAAATTTTGATTTTTTGGCTTTATTAAATTTTTTCTTTCTTTTTTTTCTTAGATATGCTTAATTTTTTTGTTTTTTTATTTTCCATTTTTTTTTTGATTGTTTGGATATTTTAAATTTTTTAGATCTTTTTGATATCTTAATTCCATTGATTTTTTGTTCCTTTTTTTAATTTTTTGGATATTTTCGAATTTTGGATTGTTGAAATTCTTAAGGTTTTTGGATTTCTTGCATTTCTTAGCGTCTTTTTTTTGTTTTTTTTTTACTTTTTGGGATATTATGTTGGATTATTCGTATTTTTGGAATTTTTCGATTTCTTGTTTTTTTTTTAATTTTTTTAGATTTTTTGGATTTCTTAAATTCTTTTCTTTCTTTTTTAATTTTTTTTTGAATTATTGAAATTATCGAATTTCTTGAGTTTTTTGGATTCCTTAGACTTTTTTAGATTTTTTGGATTTCGTAAATCCTTTGTTTCTTGTTCCTTTTTTGGATATTTTAGAATTTTTAGATTACTTGTATTCTTAAGGTTCTTAAGTTTATTGCATTTCTTAGCTTTTTATTTTTTTACTTTTTGGAATTTTTGTTTATTTATTTTACCCGATTTTTTTTAATTACTTGGTTTTCTTGGGTTTTTGAGTTTCTTGGCCCTTTTGGATTTTTTTATTTTGCTGCAGATCGTGGTTTCAATAATACAACCAGCAATACACCAAATAACAGTTGGTTTCCAGCCGATTACGTTTCCTGATGACATTATTATGACAACTAGTCTTAATGCCCTAGGGTATTATTTGGCTAATAACACCTCAAATCCACGCCATTATAGACCAATAATAAAACGGTAAGACATACAAATTTTAAATCCCTATTCGAGTAAAAATTAGTATTTCATATTACCCGCCAATTTGATAACCTTTAAAACCAAAATAACAGTACTTTATTCCCAAAATTTTCTGGGAAAATGGAGTGAGCCGTTCCTGATTTAATCAATAAAATAAACGGACTCACATTAATTTTTTTGAACTGTTTAACTAAATTAAAAAAAAATGAATCAGTCAGTTTTTTATTGAATAAATCAAGAATTCCAAAACTAAATTCTTTGAAATCTTGCAGACGTTTTAAAGTTATTGTAAGCCTGGTAAACTGTTAATCAAAATATGTCTGTTTATCCCCCCAAAATTTTGCCGAATAAATTCTACACGAAATGTGCAAAATATGATGAGTTTTTACTCATCAGTTTTACTTTAGGAAGTACTAGCCCCGCCCACCCACCCACCCTCTATTTTCTCAGAGAATGATGTCTTTTGTCAAAATCTTCTCTTAGCAAATACATACTAGCATTTTGAGCTTTTTTTTAAGAAAATAGAGGACGGGTGGGCGGGGCTAGTACTTGCTATGATAAGACTTATTTTGTCAAATAACATATACTCTGAGAAAATAGGGGGCGGGGCTAGTACTTGCTAAGATAAGACTTATTTTGGCAAATGGCATATCCTATGAGAAAATAGGGGGCGGGTGGGCGGAGCTAGTAGTAGCTAAGATAACACTTTATTTTGGCAAATGACATATCCTCTGAGCAAATAGGGGGCGGATGGGCGGGGCTAGTGCTTGCTAAGATAAGACTGATTTTGCCTCTATTAATCTTGTAAAAGGTTGTTAAATTTAAAAGATGTTAAATTGCAAATTTCCATTGTAACGGATTAAATTCTTAAATCTGATGGGGTGTTTATTTTTTATGTTTCATTTTACTTCAGGAGCGAAACAACTTTCGATAGAATATTTGAGTTGATTTACAGAGCGGGAAAAATCAAAATTGGCAGTTTCTCTTATTTTTTCAAATGGGACACCCTGTATTTTATAATATTGCGAGCTTATTTTTAAGTACCTAACTTTTCGAAAATGTCTTAAAATACAGGGCGACTGATTTTTTTCGAAAATTGCAAAAACAATGAGCAAAATTCGATTACTTTAGCTGTACTGTACGAATAAAGTTGGACTTGACATCGTCCATGTACCGAAATACGTGAAAATTTTTAGCACCAATTTTGCTTAACTTTATTATCGTAGTTTCCCCTACATCGTAACAGCGAAAAACAACCACAAAACTCTCCTAAAACTACACCGAACGTGTAAGCGCTCGTAAAAACTCCGTGGAAAATGATAGAGAAGAAACACTAATTGAGCGATTACGCATCCGTAAAGTTAAAAGAGTTGTTTAGAATCGGTGATTATAGTCAAAGTAGGTATCCCAGGCGGTCAATTGAACGACGATAAACAAGTGAATGACTCGACCGCAGCAAGCTTGATGACTTGTAGGTGCCTGGTAGTTTTATTTCACTTGGGGGGCAATAAACAAGTGACCAGAAGCTGCTACATAGGTAAATTACTTAAAAATCAACGATATAGGCGATAAGCTTGAATAACTTTAGGAGCGCGACCGGTTGGCCACGTTTACACGGAGACCGACAAGCGACGAGTTCATCCACAAGGAGAAATATCGATGTTTATAAATTAGAATAAAAAAATGTATCCGGATCTTAATAATAAAATAATATTTGTTGTCATAATCTAGGGTAAACATCAGAGATTGTTTACTTTACAATTTACTTACATCATCGTTGTACTTTACCTTTATAATTTATTCACTTTTAAGTACGACAAACACAGATTGTACTCACAAAGCGTTAAAAGGTATTCTGAGAAGTGCTTTTAATAATGAAGTGCAATTTATTTATATTTAAATAATTTTCTTGAAATAGGTGATCACGTAACTGAAGATGTCCTTGCCTATTGTCAAGTTTCATATATAAATGCCGCCTTTGCAGCTGGATTTCATTGTGATTACGGTATTTCACGATGAAAAGTATAATCTTTGTGTGTGTTGTGCTTGTGGCCCTTACATGCTTGGTAAGATTTTTTTTATATATAAGTATATTTTGACAAAATTTGTATATATTTACTTATAATTATTATTGTTTCAGGCTACTGAAGCTACAGCTCAACGAGCACCTCCCAACCTAGGAGGATACAACGGAAACGCTCGAACTAACCCCCCTAGAACCATTGGAGGTCCCGACAGTGTTTACAGGGGGGGCAACCGAGGAGGTATCAGACGTCAATATTAATAAATAACTTCCACTGTACTTCTCCAACAAACAAAAATAAAATAACACACTTGCATCTTAAAATTTTTGTCTGTTCAATTTCAAGTTCTCCACTAAATCGTGATCTTAACACATCCGCACGTATTGAAACCTAATAAACCTAAACTAACTACCCGCTTTTATCCCTTTATCTCGTAATAATACTACAATAATTTCGCTACATTTATTTTTACGAGTCTATCCGCCGTATGAACGATGTCACTTCCCACGTTCCAGCGGCCCATTCCGAACCCTCCTCGCCACACCATCGTCTCCCCGCCGGAACATTCCGTGGTCCGCAGCACCACTCTATAGTCATTCTTACGTGAAATTATCGTCTTATTTTCGTTTATTTATGGGAGATAATCGCTTATTGAAAACTGAGTACACTGAATGGGAGCTCCCATTGCCAACGATATCTCGGTATCTGAAACAAAATTGCCCGCTATCTAGTCATCACGGCAATAAAAATCGATTGTCAAGCACGTACAATCACGAAGATGCCAACTTGATTAGTTCGAGTAGAACAGCGCCCTGCAATCCGTCGACAAAAGATAGCGAGATTTGTGGCTTCGGAGTCGATAATAAGGTAAAAGACGCGGTCTATTGGGGGAAATTTAAAACAGGTGGCTGTTGGGGGTAATTACAGGTGTCGGATTTAAAATATTCCATTATTTGAGAATTGCGGTTCGTAAACTAGTTTAAAAAAATAACCCTTTCGTCATCACTTTAGTAAGAAAAGGAAGAAAAACAAGGACACAATGAACACAAGCACAAGCATCACAAAAGTAGCTCGCAGAGTCAGGTGGAGATGCATAGGACAAGTTATTAAGACCCACCACTGACCCGGAAATGACCGGCATTCAGGCAAGACTTCTACCATTACGGATACTAAGACCAAGTAATGATATGCATTGATTAGATTAACAGAACAACTTTCGAGATTCTAGAATTACAGCATACAAATGAGTCTAGCGTAACTACCGACCATTTATACGCGCATCACATGAAAAGTGACATACACTACTCTGACCTACTGGTGCTAATCTAATCTGACTGACATGATCAGACTGTTCAAGAAACTTACGAACAATGTGACATGTTCCTAACAAAACAGCTTTTTGAATTTTGAAAATTATTGAATCATTCAAATGGAAAGACTTTAAATTCTCAACTAAGCTATTTGGAACTACACCTACATTAGAGATAACTAGGGGTAGAATTGAAATTTTTTTAAGATTTAACATGGATTTCATTTCTATCGATAATTGTAGATATTTTGAAATCTTGGTGTGGTATGTTTGAATAATGTTGTTTGTGTTAGGAACAGCAATGTCAATGAGAATTGCTTCGTTCGTGTGTTTTTTGATAAGTATGATGTCTGGTCAGTTAGCTGTAATGTTTAAGTCTGTAAGTATTGTTACGAAATACACCCTTACGCCGCCCCAGTACGACGCCTATGGCGGTCGAGAGCCTTCTGGACGTACGCACGGCGCTGATGGGTGAATCATCGCTGTTGACGGCCGAGAGGCGGGCGCATAAAGACAGGTCTGGAGCGTCTCGAAGCGGCGTCCAGGGGAGTCTCGAAGCGGAGTCGCGATGGATGTTCGTGAAGGATCTCGATCAGAGACTATGGGTTTAAATGGAGGCGACCGTAGGTAATGGATTCATTCATCCAGTGAAGACAGTCGAGAGCGCCGGAATAATTTCTGTACATATTCGTCGCAATAGATAGTGTTGTAATTCGACCTGAAGAAATAAATTTTTTGAGTTTTACCAACACCCGATTTATTATTCGTCCGTCAATCGTAACACTGGTGTCAGGAGTGGGATTAATTGTGAAATAAATCGGGATTCGAATTTGGTTGGTGCTACTAGGGGAGACCGGAACAAAGTGAACTTTCGAGAAAATTCTCTCCCGCGGTAAGAGTGGAATAACGGAATTAGACTTTCATCACCTGACATTGGCTTCGAGAATTGACATCTGTCAAGGCTCTAGAAGTTTCTAGAAGAAAATTTTATGCCGACTACCACAAGAGCGCAAACAGCCAACATGGAGGAACAACTGACAAAAATGATGAAAATGTTGAGCGAAAATCAAAGAATAATGGAAGAAAGTAGAAAAGAAGATCGAAGAATAATGGAAGAAAATAGAAAAGAAGATCGCAGAATAATGGAAGAAAATCAAAGAATAATGGAAGAAAATTTAAAAGCTATGCAAACTACACTTTTGAACAGCCGAAGCGAAATCCTCCAAGTCGTGCGAAATGAAGTGGACGAGGTGAGAAATGAAATGGAAAACAAGATCAAGGAGCTCGAAGAAAGGTTGCAAACACCACGACCTACAATTGCGACCCCTGCAGAATTCAGTCCGGTGAGAGTTCAACCCCCTATTTTCGATGGGCAGACGTCGTGGACTACTTATAAGAAGCAATTTGAAGCTGCGGCCTTGTCGAATAGCTGGAATGACCAACAGAAAGCGACCGTTTTGGTAGTAGCACTACGAGGTGCGGCCCTGGAGATTCTACAGACATTATCAGAAGAGAACCAGAAGGACTATACCGCTTTGACGACCGCCCTCGAACTCAGATTTGGAGATGAACACCTCCGGCAAGTTTTCGTAGCGCAGCTTAAATCTAGGATTCAGAAGAGTAGTGAATCTCTTCAGGAGTTTGCGGCTGATGTTAAACGTTTGGTACACCTCGCCTATCCTGAAGCTCCGCAAGACTTCCAAGACAGACTGGCAGCAGAAACCTTCGTAAACGGCGTAAGAGATAGTGAGGTAAGAAGAGTCCTGCAAATCTCCGGGTTCAAGAAACCATCCGAGGCGCTGATTCGAGCGTTAGAAGTGGACGCCGCATACAACAGCTCACCTCGTTCCAACGTTAAGATACGAGGCATTGGGGTTGAGGGCGAAGTAAACCCTATTCAAGAGAGTCTCGACAAAATGAGCGAGAACTTTGAGAAACTCGCCCGCGAAATAATTGCCGAAATCAAGACGGGCAGTTCTAGACAACATGGAGGGCGCCTAGAATGTTACAGGTGTGGGCGTCAAGGGCATGTTAGGAGGGATTGCCGTGTTAGATCGCCAGGGCCGATGAGGAGATCGCAGCCGCGACCTCGTCTATATCAGGAGCAGGAAAACTAAAGGCAGTCGGTATCTCGGGGCGCGTACTGGCTGCTAAAAGAGAAGCCCCAACAACTGTAATGGTTAGAAGTATCGCGGGGAGCGTCGACAGTCCGACAATCAGCGGAAAAATCAATGGACGGGAATCGAAGATCATCATCGACACAGGAGCCGAAGTGTCCCTTGCACGCAGATCCAGGTTACAAAATTGCCAAATTAAATCAGTACGTACCGCCACGAATGTGAAGACGGTCACGGGAGAAACAACACCGGTTCTGGGTACAGCGGTGGTGAATGTAGAGCTCGGTCGACTCCGAATAAAGCATGAAGTTCTGGTGGCGGAAATCGCTGACGATTTCATTCTGGGAATGGACCTAATCAGCCGGTATGGTTTAATGATCGACCCAGAACAGAAAATTCTGCGTTTCGGAGCCGAAGAATTTGTGTTGGGACGTCCGAATGTGGAAGCTGCAACGGTCAGACTAGTGGTCTGTCAGACAACGAAGGTAGATGGTAATGCAGAAGTCATCGTCCCCGCCAGAGTAGAGACGAACCCCGGATACAGTTTGGGGATGGTGCAGCCGGCAAGTGACTCGACCCACAAGCTCCTGATCGCGAGCACCCTAGTCAAAACCGACCGTGACATACCCATACGTGTGGCAAACGTGTTTCCCAATGCAGTCAATATTAGAAAAGGGGAGATTATCGGAATGTGTGAGCCAGTCGCCCGAGTATTGAACTGCGAGAAAGAAGACGTTGAGAATGAGACTAAGGAAGGGGATACCAAAGGCTTGGAGGTCAACTGGGACCAGCTGTCTGCTCCTGAGAGAAAACTGGCCAAAGGACTCATTCGTAGGCACCGTAATGTCTTCGCCTCAGAGGAGGAACCATTCGGGAAGACCAACATCGTAGAACACCGAATAAACACTGGTGACACGCAACCTATCCGTCAGGCTCCACGAAGACTACCCCTAACCAAGCAAGAAGAAGCTACAAGACTCGTGGATAACATGTTGAGAGATGGGGTAATTGAAGAATCCAACAGCGCGTGGTCATCTCCAGTAGTCTTGGTTACCAAGAAGGACGGGACTACCCGATTTTGCGTCGATTACAGGAAACTGAACGACGTCACGAAGAAAGACAGTTACCCCCTTCCTCGAATAGACGATACCTTGACGACCTTATCCGGCTCGGCGTGGTTTTCGACCTTGGACTTGAAGAGTGGCTACTGGCAAGTAGGCTTGCACCCGGACGACAAAGAAAAGACTGCGTTCTCCACCGGAAGTGGCCTCTATCACTTCACCGTTATGCCCTTCGGGTTATGTAATGCGCCAGCAACATTCGAGCGGCTGATGGAGATGGTGCTAAAAGGACTGACATGGAAGACCTGTCTGGTATACCTCGACGACGTCATGATTATGGGCAAAACGTTTGACGACCATCTGAAGAATCTCGAGGAGGTGCTAGAACGAATGGAAAAGGCTCGTTTGAAACTAAATCCCAAGAAATGCTCGCTCTTCCAGAAAAGAGTCGAATTCCTGGGCCATATCGTGTCGGAGAAAGGAATAGAAACCAACCCGACGAAAGTTCTTGCTATCCGGGATTGGCCCATACCAAGAGACAAGCATGAACTACGAAGCTTCTTGGGACTCTGCACATATTACCGACGATTTGTAGAAGGGTATGCCGACATCGCAGCACCGTTACACCAACTGACGGAGCAGAAGGCGACTTTCAAGTGGAGCAGTACATGTGAGATGGCCTTTAAGAGACTGAAGACGGCTTTGTGCACCAGCCCCATTTTGGCTTACCCCAGGGACAAAGGAATGTTCGTCCTCGATACCGATGCGAGTAACTCGGGAATTGGGGCCGTATTGTCGCAGATACAAGATGGGGAGGAAAGGGTTATCGAATATTT